CCTCAGCTTGTGGTCCATGGTGAGCTGCTCCCCTTCGTGGCAAGCAAGGTCGATGGAGCAAACAACTGCGAAAGAATGCGCAACACCTAGACTCACGAGAAGATTCCGAGATGAGCTGGTGCCGTGCCGTGCTGTTGATGCTGGTGTTGATGGTGGTGGCGGCGGCGGTGGTGGCGAAGACTGCGACCACTACGACGAGTTGAGTACAGAAGCGATCAAACGAGATGGAGGTCGTGATATTATCCTTCGCTCTGCTGCCCCATGCACGGCTCTGCGTTACACTGCAAGCATCTGTCGCTTTACCAACAACTGCTCACCTAAACTCTACCTGTGGCCCAAAAGACCTACCTTTTTCAGGAGCCATATATCGAAACCATAATAAGGGAGCCATTAACTATCTATCTATCTATATACATACACACATAGAAACCATAACAAGAACCCCTAACATGGTAGTTCTTTTCAGATACAGGTAAACCCCAAAGCCAAAACCCTAACCCCGAACTCTACCCTAAACCCCTAAACCCCTAAACCCCTAAACCCCTAAACCCCTAAACCCCTAAACCCTAAACCCCTAAACCCTATAAACCCTATAAACCCTATAAACCCCATAAACCCTAAACCACCTCAAACCCTAAAATCCCCGAACTCCGGCCTGAAAGCTCCCCGGCTCGGCCTTCCTCCTCCTGGGTGCGAAAAGCAGAGGGGTTTTTTAGGTTTCAAGTGGTTTAGGGCTTAGGGTTTTGGGGGTTTGGAGGTGTTTTAGGGTTTAGGGTTTAGGGTTTAGGGTTTAGGGGCCAAGGGTCTGCTCACACTTAGAGGGTTTGGGGTTCCGGCTATCTTTTTGAACTTCGGCTTTCCGGTACTGTTCGGTCTCAGGCTGCCATCTTCTAACTAGTAAGATCTCTACATTTTGATGTCTTGGGTTTCGGTCTTGTAGCAAGACGGGACCAGTAAGACCGGAACAGAAACAAGTGGAAAACGTTGCAATGCCCCATCCCCAGGAGCTCATGCGGAGACAACAGTTTTCAGGCTTTAGGGTTTATGGTGGAGACTTCGTTTTGGGGTTCAGAGATTGGGCTTTAGGGATTCGGCTTTAGAGTTTTGGGGTTGAGGGTTTGGGGGATTCGGGGCTTAGGGTGACTGTGGCGAGTTTGGCAGCGTAAGGTTTGCAGAATGCCTGGAATCCAACAATGCGGACCATGCTCCTTTGCCAGGATGATGCGCGAATCTCCCAGGTGTCCAACCACCTCAGAAGCCACATGTGTTTTGCTGCTTCTGTTTTCGATATAGGGGGTGTTCGCTTCGGGAGTTCGCACAATCAAGATCTTACTATTTAGGGATTTTTTGAGGTCCTTTATCCCCCAATTTGAGGTCCTTTATCCCCCAAACTCCTGTATGGGCATTTCGATTCCATCACTGTTGGGTTTCGAGTTTAAGGCTTTAGGGCTTCCGGTGTTTGGGCACCTCTGGCCTTTGTGCTGGACTCAATCGCGATGGGAAATCCCTGCTCAACCTCAAACACAGAAACTAAGCCCTAAATCCACTTCTGCCCTAAGCCCCAAACCCTAAACCCTAAACTCCAAACCTGCTGAAAGAGCTTCTTTGAAGGGCAGACCTGCGCAGACTGTTCATTCGAAGGAGCTCTACAGGTGGCCTACTTTCCAAAGCCCAAGAACCTCCAAATAGCGCAGTAGTAGTAGTAGTAGTAGTAGTAGTAGTAGTAGTGGCCAGCGGCCGTAGTGGCCGTAGTGGCCGCAGTGGCCGCAGTGGCGGCAGCTGGTAATAGCAGCAGTGGCATTAGTCAGTACTTGGCGGTAGTAGTGGAAGCAGTGCAGGTGGCAGTAGTGAAAAGTGTTTTTATGGGCCAGGGTTTGGGGATCACAGCATGGGTTTTCGGGATTGCGGCGCAAGATGTTGCTCACTGCCCTGGTGGACAAGCTACATAGCTGTTCGTGTAGCGGCTTCGGTGCAGATGCTGCGCACTGCACATTTGAGTCATGATGTCTGCATGGAGAGCGGGTGGTGGCTATGACTGTTGCAACAAGCAAATTGCCGAAACACACCAGTGCCTCTTCGTAAGCTGCTTGCCGCGTGCGGGAGCCTCACACAACAGGGACATTCGAAGCACCTAATTACAGAGGGCGAACCAGGAATCACTTGCTCCTACAGGGACTACCAGTACTGGTACGAACAGATCAGAGATTGAGCTGCACTTCTGAACAGACAGTCCGGCAACAGCACGGCGCATCGAGCTTGGCGACTTCGAACCGAGAACGCACCCAGAATCAGAATGCTGCGAGCCCCAAGGAGGGCGGCTCAGCTTCCGGCAGCCCGGTCCCTTTCTGCAGGCCGCTCGCCCACAGTGTTGGCACGTTTGAGCCGAGCAGAAGCGCCTGTTTGAGGACTGGTCCGGGGCCTTGGAAACGTTGTAGTAGGGTTTCGGGTTCGGCTTCGGGGGAGCCGGCATGCTGGTCGGCTGGGCTGGCTGGGCTAGAGAAGTAGCTTCACAGACACGAAACCAAATAAGTAGACTGGCCGGTACAGAAGGAGATAGACAGAGCGATTGAAAGATTGAGAGGTTGTTCATTTCAGAGCTTGGCAGATCTGATAGATAGCACCCATCGCAAAGAATAATGTAGTAAGGATTTACCGCAATCGAAGGTCGAACCCAAGCTCACTCTCTCTTCGGAGAGCACTTCCTGTTTGCGTTCGGGACCAGCGCACCCGGATCACCTTGAGCACCAGGTGAAGCCTACTCGCTGCGGAAGCACACCCTTGCCCAGCCAGACAGCAAGGTAACTGCAGCGAGCCCGGTTTTTGAATATTCAACTCAAACACCGTATGCCAAGGGGCGGAAGGCATACCAATTTAGAGAACCATCCACTTTCGGCTCTTGAAGTGGGCAGACACGGAGGCAGAGAAAGTGGGCGGGAAGAGAGCGAGAAAAGAACGCATGCCAAAAAGAACCGGCCTATGATTACTATGCTGTATATCCTAAATCCAGAATTCAATCGGCACATACTGTGCTCCCCCAGGCTCCTGTCCTTAGAGCTTGGCAAACAGATCGAGAGAGCTCGGGAACCAGTGATACACACGAAATCACCCGCTTTGGCCTCTCTCGCGCTCCGCCCGCATAGCTGCCCACGTGAGCCAATAGAGTTGGCAAAAACCTCCACATGCACACAGAGCTCGCGAGTGCGTCGTCGGAAGAGGTTTAGGTCTTTTGGTGGAATGTTCATCCGGCAGAAGGGTATACAAGGGCCGGGCGAGCACCGGGTCAGCATCTATTGTGTCTGGCATGACGCAGCTGCTTCAATGACCCCACTAAACACTTGAGAGAACTTCAAGCTGAAGACGCCGCTTGGAGATGTCTCAGAACTCGTGGAACTCTTCAGGCTTTGAGATCTTCTCGGGCTCGGGAGTCCCACTTAAGTCCTTGAGTCCCCAAGTGCCAGTGCAATCGATTTTTGGGCCCGGGGTTATGATATTCTAGAGCCCCTAATCCATCCCGAAGGTACTCCGGGGATGCGTCTTGCCTCGAACTACTTGGGTCAGAGCCTCAGCAGCGTCGCACGCGCGGGACTGGCTCTGTACACCCCTTTAAGCAAGCGGGGTTCATACAGCAGCCGCATTTCCCGCCCTGCGCTGAGCCTCGAGCATTGCTCGAGGGCCGCGGCCCGAGCGGGCCCCGAAGGGCGCTCGATGAGCCAAACGGGCACGGAGCAGGTCAGACATACACAGAAAAGCGTAAGTTGGCGGGCTAAACGGCACGATCGCGCAAGTCTGCAGTCTGCAGCATCGTCTCTGACTCCCGAAGGCACACGACATCTTGACAAAACCTGAATGGAGAGAACAGTGGATTACAGCAATTTGCACATCAAGTGCCCTGCGACGTCGCTTCAGTCTTTGGCTTTCGTGCCTGAGAAACACTTAAGGAGATGGGCCAACGGCCTGTGGAAAGATGGATATTTTTTTCAGAGACAGTGGAGATGGAAGGAGGTCCAAAGTCCAGAAGAACGATGGCCTTAAAGGAGCGAAATCACAGGAAGCGCCTGTGCCCAGAAAAGACCATTGGTTGTGGGAAGGCACTGGCGATGCAGAGCCCACTCTTTAAAAGCAATGAAGCGTCTTTGGCCTGGCCTTCCAAACCCGCGGCTGTGCGAACTCCTTGGACTCCTTGGCCTCGCAGTCGAACTCAGATGCTGGGGAGCGGCTAGATGCGGCTAGATCTTTCGGCCATGTGACACTCTGAAGGAAGCCTTGTCTCAACCCATGCCGTCTATGACCTGCGCAACCCGACCGCCAACTTAACTGGCACTGCCAGGCAGAAGCGTCAGCTCAACATGCGATGAGAACTGAAAGCCCAAAGTCCGCTTAGCAACCTTGTCACGTTGCGATCACTGAAACACTTCATTCGCAGCCAAGTTGTGCTGAAATATGGATCTGCTGTGCTGATTTGCCCGAATCAACCTCTTTCCGGCAGAAAATGCATTGCATCTTGGGTTTAGTTTCGGCAGTAGGTGGGTCCCTAGGCTCCTCTGGACATCATCGGGTTCCAGGTACAAGTATCAAAGCCCTTCCGACCCTCCCTCACTCAGAGAGCCATGGAGGTTTAGCCACCAGGCCGACCATTGGACGGTCAAGGACGCGCGTCCGCACGTGACAACCCGGCTGTCCATAGGCTACGATTCTTAGGACCGGGTCGAGTAGGGTCAAGAAGAGCCCACACCTCTGCATTCATCTTCGATGCACGGCCTGACGAGTTCAAGCAGCAGCTCGTCTAACACAGGGTGCCACAGTCACAAAGCTGAACTCTATGCAGGCACTGGCCACAGGCTTTTTGGCCGCTGTCAGAAACAAGGCACTGTGTCGAATGGCTGCTACGCCATCGACAGTGACTGTCTTCATTCAAGGGACCTGGCTGTCTACATCCGACATCTGAAGACCCGTCAGACGATGCTGACATGAGAAGCTCACCGATGACGTAGACTGTAGACCTACTCCGTTGTCGTTCTTGTACGCTGGTACTCCATCTGCACGGCAGCCGAAGCTCTTCCCTCCGCGGCGGTCTTGCTACGGCGCAACTGTCGAGCACCGCGGACATCCTGAGCGGTCCAAGAGATCCGAAGATCTACGAAGTGCTGCGCCCTAGGCTTCGCAGATACTTCGCAGCCTGCACTGCATGAGCTGCCTGTGCTGACATGTGTTGAGTCCTCGTCGTCATAGCCGCCAAACCCACACGGGTCCAGACGCTGGCGCATGGAGGTGACTGCACGGGTGAGGAGATCATTTTTCCTTGGGAGCCGAATGCAAAACTATGAGCCGATACCAACCAGACTTGTAAAAGCAATCCAAAAAGCAGGTCAGACGAACAAGCCGAGAATAAGAACAGGAACACAGCGAGTGCTCAAAAGATGACCACCATGCTCAAGCCAAGCGGTTGCACCGCCACCATCACCATTGTCACAGTTCCCAGGATACACGACCCGCGAAACACCACGAGCAACAGTGACAGCAACAACTGTCGCAACAAGCGAAAGTAGGAATGGCACAACCGGACTAAGTGCGCGAGCATCGCAAGATTGGGTGATGATGATGATGATGATGTGGAGGAGGAGGTTTATGATGATAAGGAGGAGGAGGAGGAGGAGGAGGACGACCACGACGAAAAGGGGCATGAGGATGAGGAGGGACGACGATGCCGGCGACGAAATCCAACTCCTGGACCTTCTTTTCGAGTGGCGGCGCTGGCGGAGGCGGTGGGGGCAGCTGTGGCCTTTCGAAGCTCGGGGATCTGAGTATGGCCGACTAGGTTCCTAAGTGACCCCGTATTAGTAAGGGTACCCTATTTCCTGGTATTCAGTTTTCATAAGGGAACCATGCAATGAAAAGGGCAAAAGGGTATGATGATCGCATTCAGGGCATCGGGCACAGGGTGAGGGCTTGTGGGGCGCAGTTATGGCCTCACGCACCCTTTCCAAAGGCACGGGATGTTGCAAAACTTCGTGTTGCGCTTGCAGAATCAACAGCTCTACACATGTTCGTTGGGCTCGTTGCGCAAGCATCTCCTGCTCTAACATGAGGACGGTGACATGTTGCCATGCGACTCTTACCGGGCTTGCTGAGGCTTCATCGACTCCGAAACATCGGGGATTCTTAAAACTTGTACCATCCTTTTGGGGTTCTAAGGATGGGGACCCGACTCTTTTGAGATCCCGAGTCCCAAAGTCCCAAAAAAGGTCCGAGGTCTCGTTGAAGGCCAGGCCGCTGCTTGTAGTGGCCATACGTGGCCGGAGGACCGCCTGGTCGCCGGAGGCTTCAAACATCTACCGCGCCTAAACAAGAACAGGGTTTGGGGGCACAGTATAGTAGAACTGTATTCCGACCCTTAGAACAGGGTTTGGGGGTATAGTGTAGTATAACTGTATTCCGACCCCTATGCTGTTCTAAAAAAGTCAGGGGCATCTTGATGGACGCAAATGCAAAGCGTCCTGAGCGACTGTCCGAAGCCGTTGACACATCGCACGTTGCAGCCGAAAGCGGCGAAATGCTTGTACTGAAACGATAGAATCAAATTCCTGCTTCAGGTCTGCATTGCAAGGGCGAATCTTGCGAAGGGTGCTGTGTATCGCAAGTAGAGGCCGAGACAGCACGAAAAGCAGAACCCCAATGGCTTCATTTCCGCTGCGGGCTCCATCCTTGAGAGAATTCGGGACCCTTCGGACGAACTCACTCTCAACAGAAACCCCAAAACCTGGATGAAGCCCACAGCGAAGCCCCAAATCCTGAACCTTACTCAAGGGCCCTGAAACTGTAAAGCCCAACTATCAGCCAAAACCATGGCGGCCGAGCTGCCCATGGCACCCTTGGAAGGCACCTCGCTGAACTGGAGCTGCTCCCATCGAAACCTCCCAGACTGACAGCTTGTTGGCTAGAGGGCTCAGCGGCTTAGTGCAAAAAGGATAGATATGGAGAGTTGAATAGCGCCCAACTAAGAGAGCAAAATCGAATAAACTCGTACTCGATGGACTCTGAACAGGGGATGGGGATTCAGCTAGGCCCTTGCGTGCAACAGTGCGCGGGGACTCTCACGGTTGGTGCTGCCATGTGCCTGCAAAGGCGTCGAGCTAAAAGGTTTAAACATGCAAAGACGGTCCAAGCTGGCAGGGAGGAAAGCTTAGGTCTCAAAGCTGCGCCCGCCTGTTCAGGAATGTGTAATAGGAGAAGCCCATGAAGACTGCCTCGGCGATGATCATAGCTCGGGTGTCAAGGGTTGCTCTTGTTCAGGCCTGGAGCCTCTATGCCAAACTAGACTCTAGACTGAGCGAGCCCCGCGAAGCACCGGGAATTTCTCGAGAGTAAGCCGGACTAGATAATCGGAGACCCACGAAGACCAGTCAAGGAGCGCTGGAGGCGCAGATCATGCCCGGCCATGGGGTCGGAGCCCTTTGCAAAAGCACAGCTGTCATCAGCGCGATGTACCTTACAGCAAGGGGCTACAGAGATTGGCTACGACGCTTTTTGTATAGTCCCAGCTGCAGGAAGGTGCCCTGCTGAGCATGATTCAGTTGCCGCTGCCTCGACTCGGAGGCTCTGTTGCACGGCCCTAGACTGGAACTTGCGATGCTCGGGCCGCTACCAGAAAAGACCTCCCAGGTCCGGCTTCAAGGTCTCTGCGTAAACGAACCTCAGAAACAAAAAAAAAAAAGCAGCTTCGGCCCTCCTCTGGGTGGGCCCATCTGAGCCCCCTCCGCTGCCCAAGGCACAGGTACGTGTAGACCACGCGCGCCACTCCGAAGGAGACCGCCCCCAACAAAGTGATCAGCGGGCAGAGAGTGCCTGGCTTTCTGGTGGGGAAGGGGTTGAGGCTGCTGCGGCTGCCAGCCGGGTCATCGAGTGGCCATGCATCATGAATCTCCCCGTGCCATCCCGTGCCTAGGTATTACACTCCACATCGTTCGACCAGGCTCCGAAACAGCCCCCAAAATCCACATCCGACGAGCTGCTAAACACCAGGGCAAGCACGTACAAGAGCGTCAAACGCGCACTGCGCGAACCCATGCCGTGGTACTCCTGGCACTCAGGCTACATGCGTGCATGTATGCATGCATAGATACAGATACAGATGATTACAGATGTAGATGTGGATATAGATATTAGGTATAGTTAGATGATACAGATACAAGTGCTCGGATATTGATATGAATAAAGATTGCATGCTTGCATGCATGCGTGCATGCATACACATCTGAGAGCCTGATCCTCCGGCTCCGCGCGCTGCAGAGCAGTCAAATCCTGCGCAGCGCTTCGGGCTGAGGCTTTCCGGCTTTCGGCTCTCAAAACTCCGGCCAAACCCGGGACCCCCAGAATTCTGATCCTAACGCTTCCGCCGCCAGTCCCAGGTCCTAAGTCCTAAGCCTCCAACCCCAGCAGGGAGGCTACAGCCCAGGTCATGCAAACCGGCCCTATGGGCATCGCCGTCCTCGTAGAAGCACCTGGTGAAAGGGACGCGAAGAGATTAACTACAGCGAGGCTAGTCCTTGTGACTTCGGGGGTTGTGCAGGGTTGGACGGCTTCTGCACAATCTTCAACAAAGACTCGGAGATCAGACTCGATGTTGGATAGAACGAGCTATCCGGGCCTATCGGGTGGGGGCTAGGATTAGGGGGACCCTTGGGGATATAGACCCTCTCAATAAGGTCCCTTTTAAGAGAGCCAAAAGTAGGGTTCAGAAGGGGTACCCTATAAGGGGTACCCCTAATAATACTNNACGTAGTTCATGTAAAAATGTGTGCAGGTAGGGAAAGTCTGCGCCAGTATGCTCGGAATCTCCTTAGATTTCTTAGGGGCTGCCTGAAACATCTTGGAACAGCTTTGCAGCAGCACGTGTCCACAAGCACCTGTGGCAATCGCATGCCATGTGAAGAAGGCAGCTTCTTGAACAAGTGTACGTACTCCTGGAAATCTGCCGATTTGAAAAGCACCGAGTCTCTATCGGGTTCTTCACCAGGTANNNNAGAGCAGTTCCCACAGAAGTGACGAAGAGCACGAGCAGGAGAAGGAACATGTAGTACCACTGCTGAATCCGAAACCTTGGGGGGCACCACATTACTTCTCTCATGACTGGTAGTGAGCCCAGGTGGATTGTGCACGCTGCCGGCGTTTTTTGCCCCAACTGTCTCACGCTGACAAGCTGCTGCAGCCAGCCACGCGCCTGGACACAGTACACGGTCCATGGTTTCCCCACAGCTTCAACCACAGGAGGCTAGAGGAAAGCCCTTTAAAAGCCTCAAATCCTCCTAACCCACC